AGAGGTGGGGGTCGTAGTTCATTCACGCTGCTAGAACAAAATACCAAGACGGGGTGGCTTATAAACAACAGAAATTTATTTCTCACAGTTCTGGAGACTGGAAGCCCAAGATCAAGGCTCCATCATGGTCACATTCTGGTGAGCACCCTCTTTTATAAGCATTAACTCCATTCATGAGGGCTCTACCCTCATGACCTAATCACCTCCCAAAGGCCCCACCTTCTAAGACCATGGCATTGAGCAACAGGATTTCAACATATGAATTTGGGAGGGACACAAACATTCAGAACATAGCAAAGGAAAAGAGCTAGGAGTAGAAAAGCATTGGGTCAGAGTGGAGAAAAATACCTCAGCCAAGGTCTCCAAAACATTCTCAGCGGAAGTGCCTGAGAGGTGCCTCAGCCAGAGCCCCCCATAAGGAGGCCACCAAATGGAAGCCTGAGCTAGGAATGCAGATTTGCACGTAAGCTCAGGGGCAGGGGGCCTAAGCATTGCCTGCAACCCCCTCCAGAAGAGAGCAACATACTGGCTGTGTGCCAAATCTGCTATGGGGAAGGCAGCTTTCCCCAGGGGAGCCTGCCAGACGAAGCCTTGTAACTGCCTAGGGTCAGGCCTGGAAGATCACACATAGGATTTTGGCGTGGAGCCAGATTCCTCATAAAGACTTTTTTTTTTTTTTTTTTTTTTAATATTTCATTTATTTGACAGAGAGAGACACAGCGAGAGAGGGAACACAAGCAGGGGGAGGAGGAGAGGGAGAAGCAGGCTTCCCGCGGAGCAGGGAGCCCGATGCGGGGCTCGATCCCAGGATCCTGGGATCATGACCCGAGCCGAAGGCAGACGCCTAACTGACTGAGCCACCCAGGTGCCCCCCTCATAAAGACTTCTTATAACTCAACAACAGCAAGAAAACAACCCACTGAAAAATGAGCAAAGGACTTACAGAGACATTTCTCCAAAGACAGACAAAGAGCCAATAAGCACACGGAAAGGCGCTCCACATCATCAGTACTTAGCGACTACAAATCAAAATCACAACGAGGTCACACTTCACACTCATCTGGACAGCCGGCAACCAAAAAAAAAAAAAAAAAAGGAAAATAAATTTTGTCAAGGATCCAGAAAAACTGGAACCCTCATCTACTGCTGGTGGGGAGGTAATGGGGAGGTAAAATACTGCTGTGGAAAAAAGGCGGTAGCTCCTCAAAAAGTTAAACACAGAATTCCAATCTCAGGGATCTACCCCCCAAATGTGAAGGAATTGGAAGAATTCAAACAAATACTTGTAGACAAATAGCAACACTATTCATAAGAGCCCCAAAGTGGAAACAATCCTGATGTCCATCAACAGAGGAGCGGATAAACAAAACGTGGCCTGCGCGTACAGCGGAGTTTCGCTCAGCCAGAAAAAGCAGCGAAATACACAGGCTACAATGTAGATGAACCTCAAAAAATATCAGGCTAAGTCAAAGACACCAGATACAAAAGGTCATGTGTCGTATGATTCTATTTGTAAGAGACATTCAAAATAGACAAATCCATGAGAGGTTGCCAGGGTCTGGGGGAAGGGAGGAACACGGGATGACTGCCTGCTGGGCAAGAAACTTCCCTCTGGGGCGACAGGAGTGTCTCAGGACGGGAGACAGGTGACCACTGCACAAGAGAGTGAATGCACTAAATGCAGTAACAAACCTAAAAGCTCTTGGCCAAGGCTTTTTTCTGTCTAAGGCTTCTTGGACAGACCAGGTCATTAATTTAATGCAGGGATTCTCAAACTTGAACGTTTCCTGGAGGGACGGACAACATAGACGGCTGGGCTCCCCTCCTCTGCAGAGTTTCTGATGCAGAAGGTCCAGGGTGGAGCCGTCGAATCTGCGTTTCTCGCAAGTTCCCAGGTGATGCTGATACTCAGGTGCAGGAACCGCATGTAAGTGCACTACTACTCTAATGTAATCTAGAAGATACTACCATAGAGTTGATTCCTGGCATCAGAAAGCAGTCATTCCCAAAAGCACCTGCCACAAGGAAAAGCAAGCAGCTTCTGACTCACAGGCTGGGTTAGGCGGCATACTGTTTGCCCATGCAGTTACTTTAGACACTGATGTCACAAACTAACTGGCATCTCATACAGGAAAAAATGACCTTTGAGGCTTGCCTCGCCAACATGCTAGAGCACACGGCCTGAGAGCTCTCAAGGCAAACAAAGCGAATTACATGCTGCAGCTAACTTATTTCTCATATATATAAAAGCTGTCTATCACCCAGGATCCTTGTTTGGTCATCTACTTGATAGGCTTGTTCATTTACCATCCTGGATTTTCTAGTCCAGCTCCTCACCTGCTCAGGGTAAGCAGCAGCACAAGCAGAAAAGCTCTGTGGAAGATTCTACAAACTACAGAAGACAAAACACAAACTTATTTATAGATATAAACACCAAGGTTCTATCTGCTGGGTCATGGAATTCAACATCTGATCAAAGCTACTTGCAATCCGAAACCTTATTTCCTTGCTTTATCTGAACCTATGAGATAGTTTTCTGTTCTTGAGCTATTTAATTACTTCTCTGTTGCAATAAATGCGGTGTTGGGCACATCAAAACAGTCTCCTCCTTCACAATGAACACTTTATAAATAAAAAAAAAAAAAAACAGATTAGTAAATTCAGACGATGTAAGTAATCATCTTCCTCAGCATTCCCCCAAAGCGGTCAGCTGTCTGCAAGTTAAGTCATTTGTCTGTTTCCACCTCCATGTCCCAGGAAAATTGCCACCTTCCATCTGGTGCATCTGGCCCTATGTTTAGTATGAGCCACAGAAACCAAAAGAAGCTCTCTCTTTTGGCAGTTTATTTGAAAACCACGAGCCCTGGAGCACAACTGAGGCGAGTGTGAGAGCTACTGGTCACTATGGAGACAGCACATAATTTCAAAACAAACAACAGAGTAACAAATCTAAAGGCTCTTCACCAAAAGCCTGCTAAGTAGCGATCGCCATTTTTCTGTGCATTCAAGATATTAGATGTATTTCATTTCTCTTCAAAATTGTCCTTTTGGGTTTAAGAGGGAGCTTATTAATTGACATCATAGTTCAAATCCCTGGCAAAATAAATGACAAGAAAACAAAGAAGAAAAAACCAGGTACAATTACTTTAACTCTGAATATTCAACTTTGATCCCAGTACCACCCCCACAAAAAAAACTCCCAACTATTCCAACAGTAAAGTGAAGTCAAAATAATCTTAGACATCGGATTGGAACTGTCCTGCAAGGGACTCTGCCCTCCAAGTTATCCACAGTGAGCTTTCTATACCTTCACAAATATGGCCAAGGTTGGGGTGTCTGGGTGGCTCAGTTGGTTAAGTGCCCAACTCAAAAATACTGGCCATGGTTTACAGACATTATATATGTTAAGTTTTAATTCCAGTTAGTTAACAGACAGTGTAATATTTTCAGATGAACCATTTAGTGATTCAACACTTCCATACATCACCCAGTGCTCATCACAAGTGCACTCCTTCATCCCCATCACATATTTAACCCATTCCCCCACCTACCTCCCCCTGGTGACCATCAGTTTGTTCTCTATAGTTAAGAGTCTGTTTCTTGATTTGTCTCTTTTTCCCTTTGCTCATTTGTTTCTTAAACCCACATGAGTGAAATCATACGGTATTTGTCTTTCTCTTTTTTCACTTAGCATTATACTCTCTAGCTCCATCCATGGCATTGCAAATGACAAGATTTCATCTTTTTGATGGCTGAGTAATATATATGTATATATCATATCTTCTTTATCCATTCATCTATTGATGGACACTGAGGCTGTTTCCATATCTTGGCTATTGTAAATAATGTTGCAATAAACATAGGGGTGGTGCAGGTAACCCTCCTTTGAATTAGTGACCTTGTATTCTTTGGGTAAATACCCAGTAGTGCGATTACCGGATCATAGGGTAGTTCTATGAGAAACCTCCATACTGTTTTCCACCGTGGCCGCACCCAGTTTCCATTCCCACCAACAGTACATGAGTGTTGCTTTTTCTCCATATCCTCATCAAAACCTGATTTGTTTCTTGTGTTTTTGATTTTAACCATTCTGACAGCTGTGAGGTGGTATCTCATCATTTTGATTTGCATTTCCCTGAGTGATGTTGAGCATCTTTTCATGTGTCTATTGGCCATCTGTATGTCTTCTTTGGAGAAATGTCTGTTCATGGGGTGCCTGGGTGGCTCAGATGGTTAAGCGTCTGCCTTCGGCTCAGGTCATGATCCCAGAGTCCTGGGATCGAGTCCCGCATCGGGCTCCCTGCTCCTTGGGAGCCTGCTTCTCCCTCTGCCTCTCTCTCTCTCTCTCATGAATAAATAAATAAAATCTTAAAAAAAAAAAAAAAGAAATGTCTGTTCATGTCTTCTGCCCATCTTTTAACTGGATTATTTGTTTTTTGGGTATTAAGTTTTATAAGTTCTTTATATATTTTGGATATTAACACTTATATATCATTAGCATTTATCATTAACATTTATATATCATTGGATATGTCATTTGCAAGTATCTTACCCTATTCAGTAGGCTTTCAGGTTTGTTGTTTCTTTTGCTGTCAGAATCTTTTTATTTTGATGTAGGCCCAATAATTTACTTTTGCTTTTGTTTCCCTTGTCTCAGGAGACATATCTAGAAAACACTGCTAAGGCCAATGTCAGAGAAATTACTGCCTATGCTCTCTTCTAGGATTTTTATGGTTTCCTGTCTCACATTTAGGTCTTTAATCCATTTTGAATTTATTTTTATGTATGGTGTAAGAATGTGGTCCAGTTTTTCCAACACCATTTGTTGATGAGACTTTTTCCCATTGGACATTCTTTCCTGCTTTGTTGAAGAGTAATTGACCATATACTTATACACTTCATTTCTGGGCTCTCTATTCTGTTCCAGTGATCTCTGTGTCTGTTTCTGTGCCAGGACCATACCGTCTTGATCACTACAGCTTTGTGATATAACTTGAAGTCCAAAACTGTGATTTCTCCAGCTTTGCTTTTTTTTTTTTCAAGATTGCTTTGTTATTCAGAGTCTTTTGTGGTTCCGTACAAATTTTGTTTGTTCTAGCTCTGTGAAAAATGCTGTTGGTATTTTGATAGGCATTGTATTAAATGTGTAGACTGCTTTGGGTAATATAGACATTTGAACAGTATTTGTTCTTCCAGTCCATGAGCATAGAATGTCTTTCCATTTCTTTGTGTCATCTTCAATTTCTTTCATCAGTGTTTTATAGTTTTCAGAGTACAGGTCTTTCACCTCTTTGGTTAGGTTTATTCCTAGGTACCTTACGGTTTTTGGTGCAACTGTAAATGGGACTGTTTTCTAAATTTCTCTTGCTGCTGCTTATTAGTGTACAGAAATGCAACAGATTTCTGTATATTGATTTTGTATCCTGTGACTTTACTGATTTGTCAGTTCTAGCAGTTTTTTGGTGGATTCCTTAGGGTTTTCTATATATATAGTATCATGTCATCTGCAAATAGTCAAAGTTTGACTTCTTCCTTGCCGATTTGGATGCCTTTTATTTCTTTTTGTTGTCTGACTGCTGTGGCTAGGACTTCCAATACTATGTTTAATAAAAGTGTCTTGTTCCTGGGGTGCCTGGGTGGCTTAGTTGGTTAAGCGGCTGCCTTCAGCTCAGGCAATGATCTTGGGGTGCTGGGATCGAGCTCTGTATCTGGTTCCCTGGGAGCCTGCTTCTCCCTCCCCCTCTGCCTGCTCATCTTCCAACGCACGCGCTCTTTCTCTCCCTCTCCGTCCCCCAAATAAATAAAATCTTTAAGAAAAAAAAAAAGTGTCTTGTTCCCGACCTTAGGGGTAAAGCTCAGTTTCTCCCCCATTGAGGATGATGTTAGCTGTCGGTTTTTCATAGCCTTTATGTTGAGTTATGTTCCCTCTAAACCTACTTTGTTGAGGGTTTTTATCATGAATGGATGTTGTAGTTTGTCAATTGCTTTTTCTGTGTCTGTTGAAATAATCATATGGTTCTTCTCCTTTCTCTTATTGATGTGATGTAGTGAGTTGATCTGCAAATATTGAACCACTCTCACAAGCCAGGAATAAATCCCACGTGATCGTGGTGAATGATTTTTTTTAATGTATTGTTTAGTTTGACAGATATTATTTTATTTATATTTATATTTATATTTATTTATTTATGGGAGGGTGAGAGAGAGTGAGTGGGGGAGGGGGTGCAGTGGGGGGGCGGGGAGCAGAGGGAGAGAGAGAATCTTAAGCAGGCTCCACGCCCAGCACAGAGCCCAATGTGGGACTTGATCTCATGACCCTGAGATCATGACTTGAGCAGAAATCAAAAGCTGGATGCTTAACTGACTGAGCCACCCAGGCGCCCCAACAGATGTTATATTTTTGACACAAATCTCATCTACACAAACCTTTAAATGTGGCCTATCTGTAAAGATCTATAAGAAGAGTGTAACTGATTGACAGTCTGAAGATTAAGGTAAACCCCCAGCTACTACATACTATGCATGCCCAATGGTTTTAGATTTTCTTGGAAAACTTAATCTAATAAGTAAGTGAGCTTTCATAGCTGTACTTAGTAACATTTGTGCCTAATTATCAATCCTTGTGTCTTGATATCAAATAAATTTACCAATCTAGAGTTTCACAGAAGCACCTTGATAGTTAACACTCGCTTTACCTGCTCATAAAATTTTAGAGCAACGCAGATTTGTGTGCAAGTTAAAACTCGCAACTGAGCTGCGGATGAGTGACAGCAGTGGTAACTCACACAGAGTGAAAGCACGGTCAGTCCTGCTACAGCAGGAACTTGTTCCAACACCGCCGGTCCATTAAAGAACAACCTGAGCATGGTGCAGATTTCACACTTTCTTATATGTAGTTTCAGAGGAACAGAGAAAACTACCCAGCTGAAGTAAGCTACTTAGCAATGCACCACACACACACGCACACACTTTAAACATGTACCAGAACCTCATTCACATCGGGTGTTGCAACTTTACATTCAGTTTCAGATCACCTTCCTTCCACCACATCCCACTGACCCACAAGCTGCAACCCTTCCAAGGACCACTTCCACCAGCAAACTTTGACTCTTTTTCAACAAAAAGGGTCAGATTTACCATCATGTTGACATATTTCTTAACCATTTAACATGTGTAAAACTGGTGTCATTTTGATTAGGTTCCTATCTTCTTTTTTTAATGTATCTCTTAAGGTTTTTTTTTAAGATTTTATTTATTCATTTGAGACACAGAGATACAGAGAGAGAGAGCGAGTGAGCGAGCATGAGCAAGGGGAGAGGCAGAGGGAGAGGGAGAAGCAGGCTCCCCCCTGAGCCAGGAGCCCGATGTGGGGCTCAATCCCAGGACCCTGGGATCATGACCTGAGCCGAAGACAGATGCTTAACCGACTGAGCCACCCAGGCGCCCCTATATCTCTTATTAAGTTTCTGAGGGATGTGCCTCAGACCCATTTTCCCCAACACCCTTTTTCTGGCATGATTTGGCATAGCATGAGGTGATATTTGGGAACGAATAGGTCATGTCACAGTACGTAGGACTGGCTGTAAACCAACTACTGCTCCATGCTGCAACATGGGTGTATCTGGACATTGAGTCAAAAAAGAATGGCGGGAAGGGGGTTATGAGACTGGAGGGCAACAATGACCACATTAAGTGGGTTTTTGTTCCTCATGAATTTGTTTGCCTGGGCTCAGGACTGGAGGGCTTCACACACAGACCCTGTATATTAAAGAATCTGATTTATACTGCTTCTCCTTTCTTGTTACATATGAATGCTATACACTAAATTATTTTTGAAAAGAATATATATGATGCCATTGAGTACAAAAGCAGGTGAAATTAATCAATATATTTTTATTGGTACATACACCCATAAAGATGAGAATTATAAACACAAAATCTCTACGGAGAGGCTGCAAGGACGGGTATGCACAGGGATGGGTAAAGGTCTATTTTGTCAGCTGAATGATAGGCATGAGTATTCTTTGTACTAGTTTGTCTTCAAAACACGATCTGGGGAAAATAAGTCTTTCAAAGGGTCTGTGAGGTCAAAGAGGTCAAAGCTACTTTCAATAATAAGACTAAGACATGATTTGCCTTTTGCATTCTCATTCTTGCCAGAACGTACAACAGTTTTCCAGTGATACATGACATGTGATTATCAAAACAGACTAAATTCAAGAGCAGTTATCAGAACCCATCTGTCTTCCATGAAGCCAGACATTAAGAGATTTGCAAAAATGTAGACTCTCACTCTTTTTGTTCGGGAAAAATTATTTTCGTAATTACATGTTCCTTATCTTAACATGTAATTAGTTATTATTTTGAAATGAGTATTTTAAAAATTTTCAATTCTAATTTCTAATATAGGAAATATAGATAGATACAACCTACATAAACAAAAGGTCTTTAGGGTCCCCAACAATTTTGTAAAATATAAAGGAGTCTTGAGGCCAAAAAAATTGAGTAGCACTTTAAACCTTATACTTGGGTTTATACACAGGTGTGCGTGCACACACACACAAAACTCTTTTGGTATGTATGAACTATTTCATATTAATAAAGGTAAAAAAAAATCATAGTGTAGTGCAGACATAAAACAAATCCTTCTCCAGCACACCAAGTGGTACTGTATATGGTAAAAGCTTATGACAACGGCATTATCTATACTACAGATGGGACTTACCGATACTCAGACTGTGAAACACAATCATAAAGTTCCTGGGCAGTGAACTGGACATTTCTATTTACCTGAAAAGAACCAAGATGTAGTTAATAAAAATGCATATGAAGTCAAAAGAGCAGTAAGAGCACAAGTAGAGTGACCCATATTCTGAGGGAACAGAATGTCAACTTTCTAGTGTTTGCATAAAAAGAACAATCACAAGTTCAGTGATCACAACGCATAAAAAGATCACAATCAATGCTCTCAATGTTTTACACAACACTGAACTGTGTGTAAAAATACTAGTCCTACTGTTACAACTTCATCCGTTCAGAGAACCAGAAGAAGTGATCAAGGGTTCTGGGGTTAGTGGGAATCTCAACGAAGCAGATAATCACTTTGTAGATCAAGTGGAAAGAGAAAAATGTGTACTCCATGCAACACTAAATTTTACTCCTACTGGCTCTTATCAATAGATTCAGGCTTCAATTAGCTTAGAGTTTTAGAAGATTTCTAAAGCACATATTCAATATTTCTTTTCTAAAAAAAGCAAATGTCAAAAGGTTAAAATAACTATATTTAAAGGACTGGAGTAGAGTTGGGGTCATATAGGTAGACCTTTTTTTTTTTTTTTTTTAAGATTTTTTATTTATTTTTTTGACAGAGAGACAGAGAGAGAGCACAAGTAGGCAGAGCGGCAGGCAGAGGGAGAGGGAGAAGCAGGCTCCCCGCCGAGCAGGGAGCTGGACGCGGGGCTCGATCCCAAGACCCTGGGATCACAACCTGAGCCGAAGGCAGACACTTAACCACTGAGCCACCCAGGCAGCCCTAGGGAGACCATTTTAAAAGCAGAAGCAGCCATATCTTGTTTATATTTGGAACATCAGAAATAATTCAAGCTGAAAGAAAAAATTAAGCATTCAACTTTAACAACATTTGAATACTATGGGTGACCGTTGCAAAAACTAGTACTGAAGAATCTTCACTTTCATTTAAATACTAAGTTTATAAAAAAGTTTGATTTACAGACATTTTCTAAAGAAATGTCTTTTTCAGACTGTCAAGGTCTAAATATTTTAACTAATATGTGTAAGTTCATAATATAATTCAGAGATATAATTTACACTACTATAAATATAAAAGCCTTGATCATACAAAGACTCATCATGGCACACATGTGGAAGACACAGTGATGAAATCCTGTATTTCTTGAGGCTTCCTATTGATTTAGGCTATATTGTACTTATGTGCAGGGAAAAATCTGGATATTAATAAATTCTTTTTATCAGATAACAAATCAAACAGTGCCTAAGTTTTCAGAAATTCTGAATTAGTGATGGAAAACTAAATGAGACTATCTTCTGTTCAATTTACTTCAAAACATATTTAAATAGTTGGTATAAATTTTTTGGTGAGGAAATTATCATATTGTGTAGAAAATGTTTCATTCACTAAAGGTTAAAAATACACAGTGTTTATTTTTTTAAAGATTATTTATTTAGAGAGAGAGAGAGGAAGAGCGCACATGCCTGTGCAAGCAGGGTGGAAGGGCAGAGGGAGAGGGAGAGAGAGAATCCTAAGCAGACTCCATACTGAGTGTGGAGTCCAATGCAGGGCTTGATCTCATGACCCTGAGATCATGATCCGAGCCAAAAGCAAGAGTTGGACGTACAGTCAACCAACTGAGCCACCCAGGTGCTCCCATAGTTTTTATTTTTTATTATTTTTTTAAAGATTTTATTTATTTGTCAGAGAGAGAGAGCGCACAAGCAGGGGGAGCGGCAGGCAGAGGGAGAAGCAATCGGAACCCGATGCGGGACTCGATCCCAGGACGCTGGGATCATGACCTGAACTAAAGGCAGATGCTTAACCAACTAAGCCACCCAGGCATCCCATCCCCCCATAGTTTGTAACTACAATAGTTTAAATCTATATAATCCCAAATTTTTGCTTACAATTAGGATTATATGTTTATGTTATTTAATTATATATAATATTTAATATTATATTTAATGACTGTATAAAATTGGTATATAATTATAATTAATTTTTAGGTACTATAATTTATAATTATTAAAAGATCTTCTAAAAATGTTTAAGATATACATTTAGAGTTAGACTGTTAGCCAGTCCAATTCCTTTTTCTTTACGTGTTCTACTCTCATGTCAACAAGACTCTGATATTTTCACTATTACTGTCCCAGTATGCCAGGACCTATAATGTATGCAAACTTAAGGCCGGCAAATGTCAACAACCTTGCAGATGTTTGATCAAAGGATGAAGGAAATAATCTGTTCTCGATCAACTATTGAGAAAAATCAGCTAAAGAAGTGGTTTTGAACCTGATGTGAATAAAAAATATGAATACAAAATCCTTAAGCCTTTAGGTTTTTAGAAGAAAAAAATATCTAGATGTAACTTTAGTTTTAAAAGCAATCCCCACATACATTTAGATACTTATCCAGACCACAGTTCAGGTATAAGGGTGGTGTGGCTCCAGGTCACAGATGACTTAAAAAGTAGGCAGCAGGGCGCCTGGGTGGCTCAGTCGTTAAGCGTCTGCCTTCGGCTCAGGTCATGATCCCAGGGTCCTGGGATCGAGTCCCACATCGGGCTCCCTGCTCGGCGGGAGGCCTGCTTCTCCCTCTCCCACTCCCCCTGCTTGTGTTCCTGCTCTCGCTATCTCTCTCTCTGTCAAATAAATAAATAAAATCTTAAAAAAAAAAAAAAAAAAAAAAAGTAGGCAGCAACTAATGATGTAATGTATAGTGATTAACATAACAATAAAAAATTTTTTAAAAAGTAGGCAGCTAATTTACTACTAATAAAGGAAAACCGAAGCACAAATTCATGACATATATCACAGGTTCTAGCCTGAAGTCTCTCTTTTCATCATATTCATCAATTTTGATACATTTTTAATTACTCATATTAGGGCATTTTGAATTACACTGTTAAATATCAGCCACCTCTCCAACAGAGGTGGCTCTTTCTCCATGGGAGCCATCGGGGTCTGTAAGCTCCAGTGGGGCGGTAGGATATTTTTGGTTGTCACAGTGACTCAGATATTGGGATTTAGTATGTGAGGAGCAGCGATGCTGAACATTCTGCAGTGTTCCACACAATGGAGAAATGACCCATCCCGAAATGCCAACCGCACCCCTAGTGAGAAACAACTCTGTGTTGGAGAAAGTGTGTAATAGGACTCCATGTTTTTATTTAATGAATGAAAGAAAAGGTTTAATCTGTCTTTGACAAACTTCTGTGGCCTTTAAAAATTTAAAACAAATGCCAGTTAAATAGCATTCTGATGGTTTTAGACCTCTATCATGTTTATTTATAGTAAAACTTGTTTATGGTGGAAATATGATAAGCATTTTAAAGTATTTCTCATACCTCATACTTGATTAGGAAGTTATAGAGGGTCTCAACATCTTGATAATTACTGTTAGGGGCCAAAATCCTAAAAAATAAAATAAAAACAAAGGAATGGGAATGAATGATTTAAAAAAATAATAATACCTTGAACTTTCCCTCAAAACATACCCATACTGTGAGATTATTTATCATACAGTTTAATTCAACAGAAATCAATTTATTAAAATATCTTTGCTTATTTATATTGATACTTACATCACTGCTTAACCAACAACCATAAGCATTCTTACGTGAAATTCACCTTTTGAGTTACAGTAATACAGATTTCTCAAAAGGTAGATAGAAATGTGAGGGGCATTTACACTTCATACCTTTTAAGCAGTAGGTAATGCTTGAAGAGTTCCCACAGAAATGATCAAACAATCCCAGTAGACAAGTGATTAAACTACCAGACACATAAAAGAAATCCTAATAAGAGATTTCTGACTAAAGTCAAATAATACTGTTTGAACTATTGGCCTAGCATAGTATGAAAAAGCATGAGTGAACAGAGCATGTCCATCACTGAGAATAACACTGAGTGATAAAAGTAACAATGGAAAGTAACATAAATGACATAAAAATATAAATATATAAATAACAAAAACATAAAAATACAAATGGAAACAAGGAAAAAAATAAAAATAAAGGAAATGGAAGAACATATTTCTCCATCTAGCAGTAGAGTATTAATTCTTATTTTCTTATACTAAGGATTTCTGGGTCTTTTCAGTATGAAGCTTTTTTTTTTTTTTTTTTTTTGCTTTTGAAAAAGAAAAAGAAAAATGGTCTTTTTATTTTGGTATAGTGATGATGAGCCATGCCTGCCTGCCTGCCTGCCTGGGTTTTCTAGCTGTGTGACCCTGGGTGAGTTCCGTGTAACTAATTTCCCTTTATCTGTTAAATGAGGATGGTAGTAGCACTTACTTCATATGATTCTTATCAGAATTAAATGAGTTCCTTAAGAAAAGTCTTTAGAACAGTGTCTGACATACAGTCAGCACTAAATACATTATCAATTATGATAGTAACAATAACTACTATTATCATCTAATAGTTTCAAGGCACAGAATAACTGCACAATGATTTAACTAATGAGAAATCAAGCCACCTCAATTCATTCTTAAAATACAAGTGCCTTTTAATTACAATGTCTCTAGGTCCTCACATCCTTGCCAATGCTTGACACCTTCAGACTTGAGAGTTAATAATTGAGAGTCAATCTCAGTAACCTTAATGAGATCTTTAAACTATTTGGCGTTTATTAGACTTGTGGGAAAGCTTTTATAATTTTTCAGGACATAGTCAAATTTTTAAGGGGGCTGTACTCCTTGGGAGGAGACACATACAGAACGCAAAAAATACTAGTTTCATGGAAAAACTTTTTTCACCCAACAAGTAATTTTAAAATACAAATAATCTCCCAACCAAAAAAAAAAAAAAAAAAAAAGGTGGGGGAGGGGAAGGATAATACATTAGAGAGAGTCCATAAATAATTCACTTAAGAAAATGAAAAGAAAGCAATCTAGGCAAATTAAACTAATCTTTCAGAAACTCAATGGAAAAAAATTGGGTGTCCTAATTTTTAACCAAATGTAAACAAACTATCAGCAATGTGGAATAATTTACATCTATTCATTCTTCTAGTTTTGGATTATTTCCATAAAAGAGGATTAGGAAATTAGATGTAACAAGATGTTTTATATTAAAAGCCTTATAAATTCCAAGATAATATCACAAAAGAAAGTACTTTTCCAGAGAATAAAATGAACATCTCTCTGTCCTGAAATACTTCACAGAGAAAATTGGTTTGAGGTAAATTAGTCATTTATCTATAGCAACAAGTCATACTTAAGGTGAGAAATAAAGAAAATAATTACATCATTCCAGTTTTCCAATTTTTCCAAAAATTTTAAACTCCCAACCTGGTTTTATTTATTTTTTTAACAATTTTACTGAGGTACAGTTTACATACTGTAAATTCACTCCTTTTAACAACACAGTATTTAATAAGTTTACAGAGCTGTACAACGATTACCACAATCCAGTTTCAGAGCATTTCCTTCACCCAAAACAGATCCCTACTGCCCATTGAGTCATTTTCTGTTCTCACCTCCAATCCCAGCTCCAGGCAACCACTAATCTACTTTGTCTCTATAGTGTTGTCAGTCTGTAAGTTCTTTCCCTCTTATCATCACAAAGCACAGTTGTCACCATAAATAATATCCTACTATAATACAGAGTCCAGTGGATGAGTCAAAATCTAGTGGATAGTGGCTAAACCTCAGAATGGATCTGGTAAGTAAAAAAGCAAGATGCATACTAAAGATGCCCAAGAGCAGAACAAGAGACCCTTTATTCTCTCATTCAACAAATATTTGGGACCTATTATGAGCCAAGCACTGTTCCAGGCCCTTGGATACATCAGTGAACAAAAAGACAAAGATGCAGGGCGCCTGGGTGGCTCAGTTGGTTAAGCGACTGCCTTCGGCTCGGGTCATGATCCTGGAGTCCTGGGATCGAGTTCCGCATAGGGCTCCCTGCTCAGCAGGGAGTCTGCTTCTCCCTCTGACCCTCCCCCCTCTCATGCTCTCTCTATCTCATTCTCTCTCTCAAATAAATAAATAAAATCTTAAAAAAAAAAGACAAAGATGCATAGTAGACCAAAGCATCATAATTCTAAAGAGTTTGTGAAAGAAAAAAAAATCCTGACCAAGCACAGGAAGATAATGAAGGAAGAAAAATATTGTTCATTGTTACCCATTTGACAATCTCCTCCCACTTGTCAATTGCTACTTGTAAACAAACCAGTTTACAAGTTATTCCAGTGATGAAACACAGGAATTTTAAGTTTCTAAGGAAGAAGGCATATGCTCCAAATGTAAAGATCTGATTATTTGACAAAATATCACAAAATTATATTCTAATGAAGAAAGGCATATTGGTATGCCAGCATCATTCACAGATATAGTACTGTTATAATCAGACTAAAACTATACAAGCTATTTTTTAAAACTAGGATATACAGGGTGCCTGGGTGGCTCAGTTGGTTAAGCGACTGCCTTTGGCTCAGGTCATGATCCTGGAGTCCTGGGATCGAGTCCCTGCTGAGCAGGGAGCCTGCTTCTCCCTCTGACCCTCTCCCCTCTCATGCTGTTTCTCTCTCTCTCTAATAAATAAATAAATAAAATCCAAAAAAAAAATAAAACTAGGATATACATTATAGGATTTGTTACATAATTTATTCTTAAAGGTTGTTTTGGGGTGCCTGGGTGGCTCAGTCGTTAAGCATCTGCCTTCAGCTCAGGTCATGATCCCAGAGTCCTGGGACTGAATCCCGCATGGGGCTCCCTGCTCCGCGGGAAGCCTGCTTCTCCCTCTCCCGCTCCCCCTCCTTGTGTTCCCTCTCTCACTGTGTCTCTCTCTGTCAAATAAATAAATTCTTAAAAAAAAAGATTGTTTTGAGGTAAACTGAGCCCCAAATAGACTAGGCCATCTTTATTAAAATACACTCAATTTAGGGTTGAATTTAGACTTCATTATGTCCTATGAACTCTGAGCTGATGAGAATGGAATTTGGCCTGATACTAAAAAAACTGCCAACTTTCACTAACTAGAAGTACAGTTTGTTGAAAATACACAAAAAAATAGATGGAGAAAAATGGTTTATGGACTTCCAGGCCTTAGTAATTCCCCACACAGAAATTCTTGAGAGGTCAGCCTTCTCTATAGCTTTCTCATTTTTTTTTTCTTATACCAATGTGAAAACAAAAGACTCTTATAATGAAAGTCCTAAAATTACCCTCCAATGGCAACTTTTTAAAATAATAGAATGAAAGAATTAGCCCTTAAAGGAAATGAAATACTTTTCAGAAAATGGCCATTTTTAATTTATAAATACATCCACATTTGTCCTTTCGAGAGAAATTTATAATCATCAATAAGTATTTATCTAATGCATACTATTTTCTCAAATGTGTATTATACTAAGAGCTATGGAACTTAAGAGAAAATTAAAAGACATGATTGCCTCTCTTCAAGTTGTTTATAATCTGGAAATTTCACTTTAGAATTCTGGAAGCAGAATTTGGGAATAGACATCTGAAATAGTATTTAATCCTCAGGTATAGATTATTTACAAACCAAGTCTGATCCAAATGCACTTTGGTTTCTTTTAGAACAGCATCAACAATAACATACAATGTTTTGCTGAACACTTACTCAGAGTCTGACACTGCTTTACACACATATTACATACATCATCTCTCATTCTTTTAACATCACCAATTTAGTTATGTGACCTTGATCAAATTACCTGCTTTTCCGCTCCTCACCTGTGAAATGAGGAGAGAGTAGGATTTACCATGTAAGGTTATTCTATGAACTATATAAAATGTATCTAAGATGTTTAGCACAATGCCTGGCACATGTCAAAAAATATTAGCTGCTATGAAAACCAGTTTTCAGATGTAGAAACCAAGGGTCAAAGTTATAAAATACCTGCCCAAGATCACACATAGTGGTGGTAGGTATCTAAATCTCAACTGGTTTAACTCTGGAGCCCATGCTTTTTCCACTAATAAAAAGGATAACCACCACTATCTTCTTGCCTCTAAATGATTTTACAAAGTCAAATGAAATAAGGTTCTTTTAAAGAATTTTAGAGGCACCTGGGTGGCTCAGTTGGCTGAGCGTCTGCCTTCAGCTCAGGTCATGATCTCAGGGTCCTGGGATCGAGTCCTGAGTCAGGCTCCCTGCTCAGTGGGGAGCCTACTTCTCCTTCTCCCTCTGTCCCTCCCCCCGCTCAGGCTCTCTCTCTCTCTCTCTCTCTTGCTCTCTCAAATAAATGGATAAAATCTTTAAAAAATAAAATAGTTAAAAAATTCTAAATGTAAGCAAAGAAACTCTTTAATTTGCCTTCCATCAAATGCTTCTGGTGAACTGTTTTGTGTATGTTCAAACACTCCATCTTTGTAGCTGTTACAGCTTTCTCAAAGCCACAGAGGAAGTTAGTAGCAGAACCAACACTCAGTAGAAGTCCTGACA